GTGGTGGTGTGTGTGTGTGTGTGTGTGTGTGTGTGTAGTGTGTGTGTGTGTGTGTTGTGTGTGTGTGTGTGTGTGTGTGTGTGTGTGTGTGTGTGTGTGTGTGTGTGTGGTGTGTGTGTGTGTGTGTGGTGTGTAGGTGTGTGTGTTGTGTGTGTGTGTGTGTGTGTGTGTGTGTGGTGTGTGTGTGTGTGTGTGTGTGTGTGGTGTGTGTGTGTGTGTGTGTGTGTGTGTGTGTGTGTGTGTGTGTGTGTGTGTGTGTGTGTGTGTGTGTGTGTGTGTGTGTGTGTGTGTAGGTGTGTGTAGGTGTGTGTGTGTGTGTGTGTGTGTGTGTGTGTGTGTGTGTGTGTGTGTGTGTGTGTGTGTGTGTGTGTGCAGGTGTGTGCAGGTGTGTGCAGGTGTGTCAGGAGTGTGCAGGTGTTGCAGGTGTGTGTAGGTGTGTGTAGGTGTGTAGGTGTGTGTAGGTGTGTGTGTAGGTGTGTGTGTAGGTGTGTGTGTGTGTAGGTGTGTGTGTATGTAGGTGTGTGTAGGTGTGTGTGTGGTGTGTGTAGGTGTGTGTGTGTGTGTAGTGGTAGGTGTGTTGTGTGTGTGTGTGTGTGTGTGTGTGTGTGTGTGTGTGTGTGTGTGTGTGTGTGTGTGTGTGTGTGTGGTGTGTGTGCGTGTGCGTGTGGTGTGCGTGTGCATGTGTGCATGTGCATGTGTGTGCATGTGCATGTGTGCATGTGCATGTGTGTGCATGTGCATGTGTGCATGTGCATGTGCATGTGTGTGTGTGCGTGTGCATGCATGCGTGCGTGTCCGTGTCCGTGTGCGTGTGTGACCTGGCAGGCAAAGAACTGATACTGTGAGAGACTGTGAAAACATCTGTGGATAAAGCCATAAAACTGTCACTTCTGAAACAAAAATACCCATCTCTTGTAAAGAAATAAATAGGTAATAATCAATATCTTTCATACCAATAATCTGCTTGAAGTTCCAATGAGATTTTTAAATGATGCCCAACCACTTTGAACCCATTTTAAACAGTTAGACCAATACTGGTGTCATGAAGTGCCAGCGGAACATACAGTGATGCCAAAGTTGGCATCATAATTCCATTTGATTTTAGTTGTTGCTGAGTGATCCTGTATTCTCTACTGGATTTATTTTTAGACTTTGTATACTGCCTTAGAGATTCTGTAGATCCATCCACCATCCCTGTTCCCAGCATTCATATACATCAGTTAGATATGCCCCACCCCATACCCAGAATGAGGAACTATCATTGGCGGATTCTACATCACAGTTTCACCCTCTGTGGTCTTTCCCCTGTCCTCCATATCCCCCTATTCCTTTACCCCACCCCATACCCCTCCACCAAGGATGGGAGACTCTATGGGGGGTACACTTCTCCCCCTTCCTGGTTCATTCCTTGTCCTCATACCCCCCCACTCCCTCTCTTTTATTTCTCAAACATTTTACACTAAATATTTTTTTAACAATTCAATATTTGAAATCTTTGCATCTCTGTCTCTCGCTTTCTCTCTCTCTGTTGCATGCGTGAGTGCATGCCTGAGTGCGGGCGTGTGTGCATGCATGTGTATGAAAGGGGAAGAGAAAGAGAGAGGTAGAAACTGTATTAGATAAAGAGACATTCCGGATGACACAAATTTACCTCTCGTAGGTGAGAGACCCGTACACAAGCAATGTGCACTTTTTAAACCAAGAGATCGAAATGGTTAAAGATTTCCCATTGTATAGCATCTACCATCACATTTCCAACCAGTTATATAAAGGAACAAATAATAAGTATGAATGTCTTACATACAGAATCTTGCTTCTGAATCTAAAAGAAATCACTGTTCAATATAGTTGATGGATTAACAAGAACAACAAATATGAAAATGATAATTCTTACCACTATGTTCTCTTTTTCTTCCCTCATCTTTCTTGTTCTCCTTTGACTTTCCTTGCCCTTTATCTAGAAAGACAGAGAAAATACTGATAATGCTCAGAGTAAACATAATACATAAAAAATGTTACCAATCCAAATTGCACTAGGGCAACTCCATCTATCCTGTAACTAACAAATTTTATATCTTGAATCAGAAAAAATAACACTTATTAGATGAAATATTCACAGTGTAATTGTATTTCTTACATCCATCCCATCTAGCATATTTCAATATTATATACACTAAACAAGACTGATGAAGAATCGATTTTTTTCACAAAATAAAAAATAAAATATCTATATTCCATTATCTCTTTTCATCATGGTGAAGATGTGCTTGTCCTATGGGTAATGATTGATGACAAACTGATAATTATTCAATTATTGCCAGGCTTGCGATGAAAATCAATTGAAACAATATAATGATATCTAGATATGTTGCATTCAACTAATTATTTTGCCTTATTAAAGAGAGAGAAAAAAAAGAAGGATTGCTACTAATATCTTAAATTGCCTATCCACTCACTCACACTCACTTTTTGTAGAGCTTGACACTGTCAAATACGTTTTCTCCCCCACACTGTCAGCAGTCTGTTCAGGCCCTAGATTTCATCCAGCCGCAACCCCCCAAGTGGTCAAAAACTTCCCTAACTCCCAAAACTCCCTGTTGTACTCCTTCTTCTTGCTGTTTTGTATCACGTCATTGGCCAGGTACATGAACGTCAATTTGCGGGAATCTGAGGCTGAAAATAGTCAAGAGGGAAAGGAACAATTACTACTAGAAATTAATCTAACTATAAAATAAGAGGTACTGAGGTAAGATACAAAGCAACCTGTAATAAACAGGAAAAATTATGCAATCAATCAATAATACTTTGTTTTTCAAATTTACTTTCTTTTGCAACATTCCCTTGCAGACATGAAGAAACAGTCACTCACTCTATCAATCTAATCTTATAAAAGAAAATTGAGAAATTGAATGCGTAATTTCAATAGTATCCTAATATCTTCCTGTATTCATCCAGATAATAGAATTAACACTTTGTCTAATTTCACACAACAGCAAATAAGCAAAATCTACAGAACATACTAAAATCATAATCTGAATAAATATCTTACTATTTATATACAGTTAGAACTTTAACCCACTAGCGCTGGTCCATTATGAAGGCAATAATCCCCTTTTCCGGGCTGTATCAAAATCAGCACATGGACCAATCTGAGAACCTGCCTGCACACCGCCTGCCACAGGCGACAAAATCAGAGCACAAGCTCCGATATAATGTCACACAGGTGGTACAGCCAGCCATGTTAATTTTTCCAGGCATCACCTATGTGTGGCATCACCTATGTGTGACATGAGTCTATTATATCAAGAGACAAGAAATCTGCTCTTATCCCTTGAGATTCTCCTAAACCAATGTTGTCCAAACTGGGGTCCGCGTACCCCTAGGGTACGTAAACAAAGGATACGTAAACAAAGGAAACACAACACACACACACACACACACACACACACACACACACACACACACACACACACACACACACACACACACACACACAGAAACATAACATGTTCTATAAATCATATTCTTTATTTGTCTAATAAATTCTAATTTGTTGACAAACACTCCTGCAATTCAGTCTTTTCATAATTAGTATATCATTTGCATTATCTTAAATAAAACCGTTTGTTTGACCATAGTGGAGGGGGGGGGTACGTAACAGTACAAGAAGGTAATAAAGGGTACAATAGGCAAAAATGTTTGGACAACGTCATCCTAGACCATATAGTTAACAATACAATATAAGTACTTAAAATGATTATTCTTTTTCCTTATGAAGTTAAAGTGTGAATTATGATTTTTCTAACTCAGAATCCAGGATATTATGAAAATTTAGCCACAAATTAAGAACAAAATATATACTACAAATTTCATATCCACACTATTGTTACATAAAAACAAGGGGACCATGGGAATACCTGAGAATCTGACTCCCCAGAAGTCAACATAATGAATTAAAAGTTCTGTATAAAAATTAAAAGACTAAAACAAAAGACACAGACATAACAGTTATTGAAATAAAAAAAACTCTTAACATGCACTGAATAGTTCATGAAATGAATAATACTGCTTTTAAATTCTTTAGTCCCCACAGAAAAAAAAATATATATATATTTACAGTATGGGTGCACTCACCAGAGAGCAAGTCCCAACTCTAAGTCACAATGCAGTGACTAGGGTGGGTTAATGGGGTGTTCTGCCCCCAACACCCCCTGGGAAACATTGTCCTCACCTTGGTGTGCATGGCAAGATAGAGCTAAAACTCAGGAGCACCAAGTGGACTTAGGCTGAGAGTGGTGCTTTCCATAAACTTTTACCTCTATTAGTGCATTAGCATTCCTGTTTGCAGATGATTTTTCGTACTGACAACTGCAACTTTTTGTCCTCTACAGGAATATCATTTAATTTGCCACAACTAAAGGAATCCATACCATAAAGATTAACCATATATTTCATAATGGATACTGGAATAAGAGTAATAATATATAAGGAAAATAGGAAATATACATATTAATACCATTCAACTAAATTAACTTTATACTCCTCAAGTTGCATTATGAAATAGATTAAGGCTCAATTTACTTGTCAAGCGAACATGACCTTTGCACTTTGCATCCTGGGTAGATTAACAAATCTCCGCCTTATATATTCTGGTGAGACAGAACTCAGACTAATTACTTATTTATGCAAAAACTACTAGCTCTATCTTCACAGAATATAGGTGATGGAGGTTTGTTGGTCTTAGCCAAAGCACTGATACCTTCTGGTATGTTACAAATACTGTACCAACATTTCCCTATTATTGACTCCTCACAATAATTTATCTATCTGATAACCATTCAATTCTTTATCAATAAGAATCTTAGTACTAATTGTAAATAATCATACGAATCCATGTAGACAAATAACCAAACTACTTCTAAAATTACCAAAACTATATATGGCTAACCAAATGACTAAAACTTAACCCACTGGTTACACATGGCAAAGTGCCATAGAGGGCCGATCCCACAGAGCAGCGGGCTGCTGCATGGCCAGGGAGCTAAGCAGGAAAAAGGATGTCAGGCACCAAGTGGGTGGCGCCTTTGTGGCCTTCCATGGCCCAGGCCTGCCGCCCCGGGATTATGCAGGTGAAGGGATATTACCCACCAAAGGAGTTGCACACTTTCAGCACCTGCTACAGCCAGGCCCTCCACTCTCTCTGAGCACATTTATGTATGTTTGCGCGCTTGCATGTATCTGCAAGGGTTTATATACATATAGACAAACATATATGTGTGAAGGAGGGAAAGAAGCACCGCCATAAAGGGCACTCTCCTGCATGGCCTCTCACACCACCCAAGCTACGGGATTATGTGTCATATTACAAAATACCACAACCAATGGGTTAAGGGGACCGTCCCAGATGAGGGGTGACATGGGGTCAAATTGAGTCAGCTAGCGTATAGTATAGGTACATGGATGAGGAAACTACCAAACGAGTATTAAACGCCTCCTATGGCTCGTTGTCTTGCAGCCGATGCGAGACCCGCTGAACACCTGGGGAGGTACGTCCCTAATGAGCGCCCAGGATTTCTGCTTGCTACAATCGTGCATATGGCATTTGATTATGACATTGTGCATAGATAATAGTTTGTGTAAGTTCAAGGAACACTTTTATACCAATATCAGAAAAAAAATTATATTACTGTGATTTATGTTGAAATATTTTGTGAAATATATCTAAAAAAAAAAAGTGTAAGTTTTGTGTCCTCTTATACACACTGATTTTGGCATCCACAGTTCTCCATTTTTTTTCAAAAATTGAAGTAGAAAAAAAAATGATAATAATAATAACAACTAAAAAAATAAACAAAGCAAAGGTTCTTATCTGGTTTAGATTAGGTGTCTCTATGGTAAAATTCATTTATTAAACTTTTCGGATGAAAATATCTGCTTTTATATATAAAAAGAAAAAAAAAGTATTACATACCTTTATAGGAAAGCGTCCCTATTGAAAATGGTAATTCCGATTGACTTGGTAATCAATGCATCACAAAGTACACTAAATAAGCTTTTTTTATATATAACATCATCAGATTTACAGAAAAATAACAGAGATAAAAAACTTTGGCAAGCTGCCAAAATTCGCCGTATTTTCGTTCTTTGTTTACATGACCTCCGGTACGTAATGGGGTTCGTAATTTCTGTTCAATTCAATTGCAGTTTGTTGCTTTCGCTAGAGCCTCAAAGCGCTGAGGCCGTGTAAAAGCCAGATTTTTAAATTTTGACCTTAAGCAAAAAATATAATTTTTTTAATGCTCAAAAAACAGACAAAAACTAGTTCTCTATGTCAACCAGTCAGTCTCCTGACCAAAAAAAGGGGAAATTAAAAAATCGGGCTATTACACGGCCTTAGGCTAGGATAGATCTAACACATGAATTTTTTGCGGATTGTTCAGGAAAAAACTGTGGGCCACATTATGTACCAAAGAAGATGGGGGGGGGGGGGCAATTTTTTTTTTTTTTTTTTTTTTTTTTTTTTTTTTTTTTTTTTTTTTGACCCTGTATCCCCTATACTCTATATTATGCAGAAAGAATCAATGAGTTATCTCCAACTGATTTTTTTTATGATGAAATGAGTAGGGAAAGGTGGTCTTTTCCCGGGACAGTCCCCTTAACCCATTGGCGCCGGGTGTCACGTATGTACATGCCATGGCTGCTATGGACCAAACGCCAGGGGCATCATGCCATGCCCATTCCCATTGGTATCACACTACACGCCAACATGAAATTAAATACACAATTGACAAAATACAACAAAAAGATAATTGGCCACTAGGTTTCCTGAGGAATTTACACAGTTGTACACAAGACACTAAACATATAGATTATAAAACTCTTGTTCGGGTAACGTCTAAACATATTCATTTTTATCGGGAACGCACGAAACAGATGCGATAGCTTTTTGAACGCCAGACGAAGACTACGCATACAACCGAGCTCAAAATTCCATATAGTTTTTATTTCAGAGCAGGTATTACTGAGTACTATCATCTTCAACATGAAATAATCTGTATCTCGCTTATACATCCGAAGTTTAAAAATCCGACATTTAGGTAACATTCGTATTGAATTGGTCTTTACAACGGTAACTACCAATTTCAAATCAATTCAAATTGCCCCCTGCTGTGATGTACCGACCGTTGAGCGAAATGTAACGGAAATATTTCAATCCTTCCTTATAAGGCTATTTTTAAACATTAGTGCTTCGTATGTGATATACGTATATATTACCACGTAAACTAAAACATATTACCAGGGAGTCTCAATCAAAGCATATTTCGTGTGTAAAAGGACACAAAACATACATTTTTTTTTTAGATATATTTCACAAAATATTTCGTCATAAATCACGGTGATATAATTTTTTCCTGATATTGGTATAAAAGTGTTCCTTGAACATTCACGAACTCATATCTATGCGCAATGTCATAATTAAATGCCTTATGCACGATTGCCGCAAGCAAAAGTCCACATAGGTGTACCTGGGCGCTCAATAGCGACGTACCTCTCCGGGTGCTGAGGGACTCGCACGCCGGCTGCAAGACAACGAGCCATAGCAGGCGGTTAATACTCGTTTGGTAGTTTCCTCATCCATGTACCTATACTATACGCTAACTATCTTAATTTAACCCCCTCCCCCCCCCTCTCTCAGGGACGGTCCCCTTAATGCCATTCAATACCATTCGTGGTATAGTCACAGACATAGACGGATTCGGTAACACCTAGCAACTACCCCTAGCAATGAGCATTTGGTAAACACAAAGCCTTGTTCGTTTGAAAAATCACTGCACTTTGCTTACGTTACTGAATTTTTCCGAGAATTTAGTTTCTTTGCATGAAAATGCCAAGGAGCTGTGTTGCCGTTGGTTGTTCAAACCACAACATGATGGGAAAGAAAGGCTTAACCTGTCATATATTCCCAGACGTGAAAAGAAACTTGGAAAAATGGAAGGTCATGTAACACATGGATGCTGATGGGAGTGCTTGAGTGCCTGGTAGAATATGTTAATCTACATATTAATATTTTATACCTTTTCAAATTCCAAAGACAGATAATCAATTTCAAACTCCCTCTATCTAATCTGCCTACCAAGGCCAAACAAGGTCAACATTATCGACATTAGGTTTTAGCAGCAGTCATATACTCCTAAAAGCACAACAGCGACTCTATTTCTTAATTAAATAAATTGATTTGTCGTAATTTAAATTTACAAGCAAACCATCTTCGGATCCATCTCACCCAAATTTTATCCCAAGTGTCTTCAAGCACTGTCTATTAGATGAAAACAAAGCAGGGATACAGTTGCCTGTTACCTTTATGTCTGAAATGTCATTTGGTCCAGTAGATAAAACAACTGAAGAGGGCCTATCTCTTAAGGTCAAATTATTAAGGAGACAGAAAAAGACGGTGTGCTTATAGGCCTTTAGGTGCCTTCATTGTTTTTGCATTAACACCTTGTAAATAGGAAGAAAAGTTATGCTAAGAAATGACACTGATTTCACAGAAAAATACCCTATATAGCTAAAAATCATAGATTACTGTAGCAAATTTTGTTATCATAAAATTATTGTCATTACGAAGTGTGTTGGTGAAATAGTCATTGATGTCAGGATATTCAATATCAAGCCATTTCAAAGCATCATCGATCCTAATTTCAGCAGGCAGACAGTATTGGCACTCTTTTAGCTCCTCAACTTCTTGTTATGCTTCACATCGCTTTTTTGCTTTGGTTTTTTAAGAATCAAAGTATTCATACACCATTTTCACTCACGCTGATAGTTAGGTATCCGCGAGCGACAAGTCTGTTTTCACCAAGTGGAATGGTGACTCCAAGATCACATCAAATCGGTTTATTAAATATCATCTACTTATGTATAGATTTTCGTTATTCTCAACCATTTTCTTATCCTATTTATATAATTCCTGTTCCTTCTCAATATCTTCAGTTCACTATTTGCACATAACAACGACCATTCTAGTTACCGGGTTCATCAAATTAACCCTTTTCTCTCTCAATTTCTCCCAATTTTTTGAGACAGTCACTCTCATGTGTCCACAGGTACATCCACTACTCCTGTTATTTAACAAATACCCAAAAACTACGGTTAATAATACTGTTATTAATATTGTTACGAGAATTTACCTGTGACGAGCTCTCGGTACCAGACATTAACAACAGTGTGAGCGTGTTTCTTGTGATGAATTAGCCACAGTGACACGGTCTGAATGGACTGCTGCGACATGTTGAGGTCATCCAGCTTCTTCTTGAGCGCATCTTCGTTAAATCCAGCCATGACTGGCTCGCTTTTGCGCAAAAATAACACAGTTTTCACGCGAACCTTGAAGACTTTTCCTCGTCTTTCTCTGCCAACAAGCTTCGTCACAACGACTCCGGCCCACTAGTCCTG